GTTTGGACGAGCGGCCCGAGTGAAAATACATTAAAAATGACCTGACTCAGTGGGGGCTCAAGTAAGACTCCTTACCGTATCGTGCGCTGATGGTATCACAGCTATGACTAGCTTGGACGAGATATGACCACCTAAGAGCAGCGGCTCCAGGAAAAAACTCTGGTCACCACGTTAAAAACTGACCTTGTGTCACCTGACTCAGTGGAGGAGGGCAAGTAAATCAACACATTCTGATACTTACAGGTCACTGGTAGTATCACGGCTACGACTTGTCTTAGACCATCTCTGACCAGTTAGGACAAGCTAAGACCAGCGGCCCGAGAGAAAACAACCGCGTTCACACATTAAAAACTGACCTTGTGTCACAACCTGAATTAGTGGGGTCAGGTAAATCCCCGCTCTCTCGTGTGGTTTGTAACACATTATTTATCATCTCTCAGTTGCGTCTCTGCGACGGCTGCGGCAGGGTTAGGCAATTTTTTAGATATATAATTTGTAGATCATAAAATGTATTGGTAATTTAAAAATTTAAATTGCGGGTGTATGCGCACGTGCTCCCTACATTAAACCGACCTTGTGTCACAACGCGACTTCGTGGGGGATGTCGAGTAAATACCAAATTACTATAAAGTAGGGCTGGGGCTTCTTAATCTCAAAATTCGTGGGAGAATTGTGCTCCAATTTCGCATTTATTCATATAGATTCTATAATATAGGTTTTACTTAATTAGCTATTATGTTTCTCTAACTTTTCAAATGTTGAATGTATAACTAATTCTAATTTCTATTTTCCCATCTTTACACTATATTAATTTTATCTTTATAAATTGTCCCCCTGTTCTGTCACCCATGAAATAAAAATAATTGTTTGTATGGAAAATAAGGATCTACGTATATCAAATTGTCTTTAAGTGGCAACAGAAGAATTATCATTGAACTTTTAAAAAGTAAGCTTAAACGTTAATTAACATTTCATTCATAAATTGGATTGTTATAATTAAGTAAAGTTTTACAAATAGATGTCAACTTGTTGAAGGCCAAGTAAAATGCAAATTTCAAACATTTTGTCTGTAATATATAAGACGATATTCCTAAACAGAACTATTTTTTGATATGAAAATCAAAACAGTCCTTGAATAAAAGAACAGTAATGAAGGACAGTTAATGAAATAAACTTTTTTAAAATCATAAGCAAATTAGTTAAACCCGAAGAGTGATATTGCCTAGAAGTAGATAATATATAATACAGATATTGAGCTTTTAACCTGTAAATTATTATAAAATACGGATGAGGTTTTTTAATTGAGCTCCAACTTCGCTATTTATTCATATAGATTCCGTAATATAGGTTTTACTTAATTAGCTATTATGCTTTTTATTGTTTTTCTATCTCTTCAAATGTTGAATGTATAACTAATTCTAATTTCTGTTTTGCCATATTTACACTGTATTAATTTTTCCGATATATATATATATATATATATATATATATATATATATATATATATATATGGGGAAATGTATTGTGTCTGAAACAAAAGTGATTATATATATGTATATATGTATCACTCTAATAATTCTTTATAAAATGTTAAATTTCTTCTAAACCTAATATATTGAAACTTTATTATTTTTAGTGCAGCAATATATAATGAAAACCAATATTATTACGTATTATTTATTGCCAAACTCTACACACGCACAAATACAAGTACAGCCTTGTGAAAGATTTTATTTAAAATCAATATTTGGTGCTGCTAATTTTATTTTTTAATAATGCTTATAGTCTTGATGATATTGTCCACATTATTTGGTGTGACCATCTTTATTTTTACTACTGCTTCTCCCTTATGGGGGTCTGACGCTAAACTACATGTGGAAACAAGGCCTTTGATTGGGGTTAGAGGTTTTCAGGGGCGTTGAACCACCTCTTAATTGCTGTTGTTCCCAGGTTTACACTGACCCGGAGTGGTAGCAACTATTAGGATCCCAACTATGGACAAATAATGAACTCCCAAACAAGAACCAACTGTACATTTTTTTAAAGTCAAATTACCACCAATATATTTCTTTTTAAATTACTGTTATAGACAAGCGTATGGTTGCAAGAAAGAAATACGACAACAGTAGAAATAGATTTACGTGGTTTATTTCAACAGGAACGAGAGGGTTTGGGACAGCTACCTTATGGTAAAGTTCATAAGCCGGCTTTCGGATCTGGTCGATCTCTCATGGTAGTTCACACATGTTGACGGTGGTTGACGCTCTCCTGCTGACAGCTGCTCAACGTGACCGGTCTCCTTTGTGTCTCTGTTGACTGCCTGTTGAACTTCCCTGTGACCCCTTTTATAGCGTTTTTTTTTATGGCTTAACAGGCTCGAGAAACGAAGCGAGTATAATTAGGAGGGAAGCATTTTTATTGGACGAAAAATAGAGCACTTTAAATATTATTTTATTTTTCGACCGGAACACGTGTGTCGGAAACATTTGTGAAGAAAGATAATGGTCATTTTGTGACGGGGCTTTGTCCCGTTCACATCCGGTTCTCGCTCTTGAGGATTTGCCTGTAAATCAGCCGAGATATGTCTTATTTTATTTTATAACATTACCAACAATATATATTTTTATTGCCAATACATTTTATGATCTACAAACTAAAAAACATACATTTACTCTGGAAGCATAAAATTATGAACGAAATATTTGTAGTTAAAAACATAAAATTTCGTACAAAATATCTAGATTTCGGCATTAAATAACCAATAGAGATTGATATGCTGCTAAGTAAAAACAACCGATCCAAGCCAAAACTTCTGCTTTTAATCTTCATGACATTGTCCTCACCAGATTTGAATAAACAGTTCCTGTTTTTTTTTTTTTTTTGGGGGGGGGTTCTTTTGTTTTATTTTCAGTTTTTTTTTTGTTTTTTTTAACTCAGCCACTATTCATATTTTCAATTCTGTCCTGCTGGATGACCGTCATTTTTCTACTATCCGTCGCTACAAGTGCTTAATTGGATTTAAATCTAGTGACATACTCGTCCAATCAAACATTTGTAACTTTTGCTTCTTCAGACATTTTCTTGTCTTCTCTTAACATGAATCTTTCAAATCAACATCAGGCTGGAACAGCACTTTTCTTCACAAATGTTTTAATAAAGACATTTCATTATTTTGTCGTAACCTTCGTCTCCTCACGTAACTCGTGGCCCATTAGGTCGTATGTACTGCAGCTATAACAACAGTAATGTGTCTATGGCAGTTTTATTCCTCTTCTGGTTTACTGTCTCCTAGCCTGGTTGCTCTACCAAGGTTAAAGTTCACAGTTTGTCCTATTATTTTTAAGCGGTTGAATCCAGTTGTTTTTTCTCCTAAACTGGTTACCACCCAGAGAAAATGGGTCCAGTCATTTGTGTGCTATTTAACCCATAGCTGAAGGAAGATGGACTGTTTCCTTTTCTGGGGGCATTAGTGTGAATTAAACGAAACAGAATCGACCGTAATTAGAATTCTGCTCGCTGGTTTCATTTTTCGCGCCTGTAATTGTTACACTACCCGAACATACTCGACGTAATCTTCAGCATTCATTCTTCTGAGGATGGAAGGCAGTTCACCGGTGCAATTAGAGCTCATAAAAACCCAGAAGCTGAATAAAAATAGACAGTAATTGAAACTGCATTTCCCTCAAAGGAACACTTTTTACGTAATAAAGAGGGACAGTAAAAATAAAAAATTAAAAAAAACAACAACAAAAAATAATTAAAGAATAAGATAAATAATAAACTTGCTTGATTCAATTTTTCTCCTTCCACTTGAAAGAGGTTCATGGGTATCTGGATGGGAAGGAGCAACGCGTTTTGACGTAGTTTCAGGATTTTATTGATATTCTGGGTATATTCGCTCAGTGTTCGTTCCTTGCTGATGAAGCGCTTGATCTGTAATTCCGTATCATTGCTTAGAAGGTACTTGAATGGGTCGTATGTACCCTGGTATCTAAAATGAAACACAAGCACACACGAGTAGCAGAAATAAAATCATAGTAGCCATAATTGTTTATGCTTCAATGTATTAAAATTAGCGAAAAGCATAAGTTATCTGTTAATAAGATTAATTCGTGAGAGCCCGATTTAGAATCTGTCGATTTAGAATCTGTTTTTCTTTTGTTTTGTTTTTTTTTTTTTGGTTTGTTTTTTTGGTTTGTTTTTTTTTTGTGTTTTTTTTTGTGTGTTTTGTTTTTTTTGTTCTTTTTTGTTTGTTTTTTTTTTTTTTGTATATATATCCAATGAATCCCATTTAAATATCGAAACAAATTCCAAATACATAACGTTAAATCTCTCAAAAATTAAAAAAAAAACAAAAACAAAGAAGTAACATCTGAATTCAATGTTTCTCTTTTATGTGCTGCGTCCATTAAGGATATAGACGAAAATGATTCTCCATAATTTCCTATCCATTGTGGCCCTTAGCAGTTTTTCTCCCTTTGCTAAGGCTCCCTCCCAACTTCCGTTTCGATATCTATCCAGACATGCTCGTCAGTGGCTCACTGCCTTTCCCCATCTCCCTTGCCCTCACTATGCCTTGTGAACATTAAGTTTTCCAAGCCCTCCTTCCATTTTATGTGTCTAAGGAATTTCAGCGATTTACCGCCATATCACGTTGAAATACCGTACGATCACCGAATTTAAGCAACGTCGCGCCTGGTCAGCACGTATATGGGTGGCCGCTTGGAAATACCAGCCACTTTAAACTTGTATCTGCGGGTGGTGTAATGGATAATGCCTCAGAATTGGAAATCGGAGAGCCGTGTTCCAATTCCAGTCGGGTTCGTTATATTTACTAACACGCAAATACTCCATTTAATAGCAATTTAACCATAGCTTATATTTCAAAATACGCCATTTAAATGATTAAATAATAATAATAATAATAATAATAATAATAAAACATGGGCAGTTTTAATTAAATATCTTATCTTTGTTGCCTTTATTATAAAGCAACAAGCTTACGTCCATATCACGTTGAAATACCAGTTCTCTCACAATCATCAAAGTTAAGCAACGTCGAGTCTGGTCAGTACCTAGATGGGTGACCGCTTGGTAATAGCAGGTGCTGTAAGCTTGGATGTGCGGGTGGCGTACTGAATAATGGCTCGGAATTGTTAATCAGAGAGCCGAGTTTCAATTCAAGTTGGGTTCGTTATATTCACTAACACGCAAATATCCGTGGGGAAAGTATGAATCCGTTTCTTCTCCCCTAGCTATGGGTTAATTAATAAGAGGTGTGTCGCTAAATCATTATTATCTCCCCACCCCTAAGAAATCATTCGTACAATCTAAAAATATTTTCTGGTTTTAAAGAACCTGCAAAATGTTGATGAGCCGTAGAAAACGAATCAATCAAATTAAAATAAAAAAAAAAAGGAATTTCAGCTAGTTGATCATTTATACAAATGTTTGTAGTTACTAGTGCTTGTTCTAATTGGATTATATTTAAAATTAATTATTCTTATTCTTTTAAAGTTACTCCCAAAACGCAAGCAGCGAAATTTAAAATTTACTCGCGCTATTTACTATCTTGTATCTGTCTCGGTCTTCGACTATTGGAGCCGACTGCAATTATGCATCAACATCTTACTTATTATAAAACGCAGATTGTGTGTGTGTGTGTGTGTGTGTGTGTGTATGTGTGTGTGTGTCTGTACGTTTATATATTGGATCGGATTTCCTACATTTTTCAACCGATTTCAATAAAACTTCACAGGACTACGTAAAATTACCTTGTGGTGGTTCTGACAGCGCAAAAATTGGAAAAACACAATTGTTTTTGCACGAAATCAATTTGAAAAACACGATAAAACACGATTCTGTCGCCAGAATGAAAGGGGACAACTCATATCGAGTTATGCTTATAAAACCCAGGTTGTGTGTGTGTGGTGTGTGTGTGTGTGTGTGTGTGTGTGTGTGTGTGTGTGTGTGTGTTCGTTGATATATGGGATCGGTTTCCTACATTTTCAACCGATTTCAACAAAACTTCACTTTTTTTTCGGCAGGTAGTGTTTCTTATTGTCTTGCACACTTTTTCTTTATTTTTACATTCAGAATGCTTTAAAATTCCATTTACAAGACAATTGTTTATAATAAAATTCTATTCAATCGTTTCAAATGTTTTTGTTTGAGTTTGCGTTTTACCAATTCATAAAAAAAAACAAAAAAACAAAAAAATAATGAAGACATGCGTGTCCGTCAACCTTAAACAATAATCTTTGTCAATTTTATTTTTCAGTCTTTATGATGGTCGATACTTGATTTATCTCTTACTGTTACATCCCCGGACAACCCCGGGCAACCCCGGGCTCTACTGCTAGTAATCTACTAAAAGAGGCCGAATGTCTTTAAATAAAGTCTTTTTCGTTATTTCCAGCTTGGTATAATTTTACAAGGTTTTATGCTTAACTATAATTTATAGAAAACTATTTTCATAACAGCAATTCTTTCTCTCTTAATTGCACTTGAATTATATGAAAATCTACCTTAAGGGCCCGTCACTGTTGGCCATGATAATTTCTTTCAATCTTTTTTTCACATTGAAAACAAGTTCTTCGTGATGTTTCACTGAACTGATGTATTTGTCCGGCAGATTCTCGACGCTGTGAAACAGCCAGTTCTCAATACACGAGAAAGAACTGGCGCTTGTCACTACAACATCGATGACGTCACACAAACGTTGATGGACTTCGTCAAAAGACGGTTCATATTTTGACGACGTTTTCGCGGTATCTTCTACCTGCAAACACACATAAAAGAAAAGGAAAATATAATCGTTTGAAAAGAGTAATATAGATAAAAATCGAATTTCAAGATAAAGTTGTATTGTCGAATATGCATCTGATTATGTTGAACTTTATTGATCGATTTGGGGCACCACATGGCGGTGTAATGGTTAGTAACCTTGTCTCGCTAGATCAGCTACGACTGAGTAGTGAGTTCGATCCTCACTGGGTGAGGATCGAACTCACTTTCGGCCTTGTACCACATCTAAGCTGCGCTTGGAAAATCGCTATATTGATTGATTCGTTTTTTTTTTACGGCTTATAAAATTCTTGCACGTTATTTAAAGCCGGAAAATATTTTTAGACTAAGAATTTTTTAATGATAATTCCTCCTAATTAACCCATAGTTAGGGGAAGAAGGGATGGATTCATGCCTTTCCCAAATGTATTTATGCGCAAGTGAATATAACGAACCAGACTGAAATTGGAACTCGGTGCTCTGATTTTCAATTCAGATGCTTTATCCATTATACCAGCCGCATATCCAAGCTTACAGCACCTGGTATTCCCAAGCGGTCACCCATCTAGGTACTGGCCAGATTCGACATTGCTTAACTTTGATGATTTTGCGAGAACTTATTTTTCAACGTGACATGAATTTAAACTTGTTGCTCTTTAATAAAGACAAGATAATTAATTTCGTAGATAGTTGTCGTCCTAAAACAGCAGATGTTTTTTTTTATTATTATTTCATCATTTCAATGGTGTATTTTGAAATATAAACCATTGATCCAGATTAGATGAACGTGTAGCTCAGTGATTATCAGCATTTGTGTACACTTCTCTACATGTATACCATTGGAAAGGTATGAATCCACCACTTCTGCCACCATCTAGGGATTAATAGCAAAACAGATTCTGTTTTTTAGCTGTGGTTAGCATCTGTGGTACTATAGCCACCCACATAGAAAAAGATATGGTTTCATATTTCAGATTTTAAGTGTTTTTTTTTTTTAGAGATCAAGTGGCAAAAACTGGAAATAGAGTATATCCAGGTGCTTGGCCTATAATAAGTCTCTTCTTGTCTGCCCTTGGCGAGAAATGTACTTGTCCGTCGCCTGGCTTCGATGCCGTTCATTCGTATTGCTAGCCACCACGTCGGGGTGAGTAGATGTTTGAAGAGTGTTAGGCGGGAAGAGCTGAGCTATTAGCCTGGCATAGCAGAAGTTGTCCCAGGCGTCACCTACTTTACCCACCTACATATAATAGGGAAAACAGAGTTCATGTTCTCATTTCTCGATTCGGCACTTGTTTCTCATCTTGTGAACATGCAGCGGACCCTTTCCCAGCTTTTGGTTCAAACCAACAAGATCGAGAATCGAAATGCTACATGGGGTAATCATTGATCGTTCGGTGGAAAGCTTGGGTGAACGTTGCGTTTTATGTTTACACATGTAGGAGAAGGACAACACTGAATTCAAAAACCCATTTTGCTCATAAGCCCAAAAGACCATTTTATAAAAACCTACTTGCTCCAGAAACCAACATCTAATATGCCGAGGCTATGGTCCTACACGCCGTGGAGAGACTACAGAACTTTCATAAATAGGCCTTGATTTCTCTCTTGATCTTTTAAAGCTAACCTGTAAAAAATATTAGAAATTCTCCAAAATATGGAGCAACGCTGGGTTTTTTTTTTGGGGGGGGGTTGTTTTTGATTTTTTTTTGTTTTTTGTTTTTTTTGTTTTTTGTTTTTTTTTATGGAAATCCTTATAGTTTAGTTACATAAAAATTCCCCTTCAAAATAGTTTTTAGAACAAAGAAGTTTAATACATGATGTAATAATGTAATTTTTTTATTGTTTTGCTCACACCGTAAGGCATTATACTCGTGTTGCATGGAAAAGCCAATGATCATCCAGTCTAGCAGTAGTGTAAGCATACAACGAGCCTTTACCCAACGACTGTCCAATGATTGCTCGATGTTTCATCTGCATTCTCGTTGACGTCGCCGTGCAGCAAAAACTGGAAAATGCTACTCAGCGTTCGGAAGAAAACGAAAGATGAAAACAAACACCACGGTGAGAAACTCCGTTCCCAATATATTTAGGCGTTTTATTCAGGGCTTCGCTTGCTTGGTCTGGGTGACACTTGGGACAACTTCTGTTATTTCAGGCTAACAGCTCCGCTCTTCTCTCCTAGTAACTCCATGTCCATCTTAACAGCACAACGTGTTATTAGCAACACGAACGGACGGCATCGGAACTACTTAAAGGACAGTATATCTCCTGCCAAGAGCAGACCAGAATTCACTACTTCAAACCCAACTGTCACAACAACCGGAATTAATAATTGTCCGAATTTGTTGTCACTTGACCCTAAAAGCTTACTTTTATTTATTTATTTATTTATTCGTTTGTTTGTTTTTTCGAACAAGTGGATGCGCCTTAGAATACCCGACTTCAAAGACTATATCTACGGCCATAAAAGAGAAACACTTGAAATCGCGATAAAATTACACCTTACTATTTTATGTGGGTTCACCAATTATGGTGTTACGGTATTAATATGCATCTCAATTCCTTGTTACCTAATCGAAAAAATGCTCTTTATTTGGATGTAGTAGTGTCTCCTAAACATTAAAGTTAAAGTGCATTAACTATCAGTCAGTTATGTGCCAGTCTTTCAATCTTACATGACTGACGAGGAAGATTTTTTTCCCGCAGTAGGTTGCCATTTCTTTCTGCGGTTGTTGCCACTTGACCCTAAAAGCTTACTTTTATTTATGTTTTTATTTATTTATTTATTCGTTTGTTTCTTTTTGAACAAGTAGATGTCACATAGAATACCCAACTCCAAAAACTATATCCACCAGCCATAAAAGAAAACACTTGAAATCGAGATAAAATTACACCCCCCCCCATTTTATGCGGGTGCACGGTATTAATATGCAATTCGATTCATTGTTAACTAGCTGAGAAAATGATCTTTATTTGGATGTAGAAGTGTCTCACTAGACATTAAAGTTAAAGTCAGTTATTTGCCATGCGTGATACACGCGTAGGCGATCATGTATCTTTCGATACATGACTGACGAGGCAGATATTTTTCCCGCATTAGTCTGCCATCTCTTTCTGCGGTAGACCTGTTGCCATCCAACGCGATACAACCCGGCCTGTCCTGTTATTTACACATAGCTGGGGGGAGAAGAGGATTAGTGTATTAGCACGTAAGTGAATGTAATGGATTCGACTTGAATTCGAACTCGGATCTCCGATTCCTGAATCTGAACCGCTATCCATTACTCCACCGTACCTACATTCTTCGAACATTTTCTTATTTCTGAAA